GCCCGTGTGGCTGTGCTGGCAGCACCAGGAAGGACAGCAGGACACGTCCTGGGTGGCAGTGGCAGCCCCAGGCCTTGTGCCATCACACATTCCTTGCTTCTCTCCATCCATTTCCTTTTGCCCCCCGTGATCCTGCCCACTCTGTGAGTCCCAGAGCTGGAATTCTGGCCGGGGCAGGTGCAGCAGGTGGGATACATACCTTGGTGTCACAGCCCCTGTGCAGTCACTTCACTGTCCCCAGCAAGCAGCAGGTGCCTTCAGGTGGTGATTTGGTGGCTTTGTGTGGAGCCTGCACACTCAGAGTCCTCAGGGAAGGGGCACAAACCATCCTGGGAGCAGAACCAGAGACCACGACACCCATCTGGGCTCCCACCACAGCTACGGGTACTTATTGTATTTGCTGCTATTTTCTTTTCGTGGTCCAAAGATTCGGGATTTCCTTTGTATAGCATGAAACCACCGCAGCAGCAGGGCTGGCCAGGGACTCCTCTCTTGCTGCCCTGGATCTGTGGGGGAGTGAAACTTTGAGGAAATCAGTGCGTTGGTCACAGATTCCCTGAAAAACCAGCCTGTGGGATAAGGGTTTGTTATGGCAGGTTACATGGTTACAGCTCCCCTTGACAGGATGAGAGAAAAACCCTCCCAGTCCCTGACCCACCTTGGGTGTCCACACAGCCCCACCTGTGTAATGGTACCAGTGTCTCTGGTAGAGCAGGGAGGGCTCTTGGTGGCTCTCCCAGGCTTTTGTGTCACCTGGGTGACCCTTGGGAATGTGAGGGCTCTCCACAGCTGGAGGACACGGACACCATGGACACCAACACAACAGAGCTTTGGCTCCAGCCAAACCAAAAAAATAAATCACAAAATACAAATTATGTGGTTTGGGTTGGATAAGGCAGCAAGTGACAGTTTTTTACAGTGGCACCATTAGTGCAATTTGCCCATTTCATCCTTTGCTGGTTTTGGGCCCATGAGACCGTCAAACCACACACTTCCATGTCACCTGAGCTTTGGAGGGGGAGCTATGAGAGTGTGCTGAAAGGCTGCTCTTTTTTTGGCTCAGTCAAAGCACTAGTCTGGCTGCTGAGGAATTAAAATACAGCAAATGGCACTTCTTTGCATTTATCCAGCTTCCAAACAGACGACAAAGAACCAGTGAGATGGCTCAAATAGGTGGAAAGCAATTCCACTTTCAGACGTGCTAACATACCTTTGACTCAAAACTCCCTGTGGTCTGGGCTGCACAGGAGTGACTGATGATGGAAAAGCCATCAAATGTCCAGGCCAGCAAGAATAAAATGGATATTAAAATGACCTGGGCAATCCAGCTCAACAGAGCTCTGCTCAGACCATTCATCTGGAGAGGGCAGCTCTGCTGGGATGAAGAAACAGCCAGTGACAAAGGAGTTTCTGAGATAACAGCAGTGACTTCACTTCTGTAAATGACTTATTTGTTCAGACCTGCTGCTCTCTTCACACCTCTGCAGTGTTCTGAATGTGACGGAGCATCAGCCCAGCCTGTATAAAACCTGCCTTTAAAATCACTGTCTTTAGGAGGAAGAGATGCTTCCTCTTCAGTCTCTGAGCTTAACCATTTCCACCCAGGGCAGACTGTGCTGTGTGCAAGGGGCAGCTGCTCTCTGATTTCCTACGAACCTGAAAAGGCTTGAATGCACAGACACACCCTCCTTCATGAATAAAAGCTTCACAGCCTTTGTAAAGGTGAGCTAAGAAGAGAAGCAAATTTACCAATAGATCCTCTTATTGCTTCTCCAGATGAAAAAAAGGATGAAACTTCTCTTCTGAAGCCAACTTCGCTCACTTCCAGGGCCAGCCAAGAAGACAGCACCGACTCTCTTGGAGCCTGAATTCTCAGATGTTATTTATAAGCCAATTAAGTGCCATGATTTACTGTGAAAAACCCAGATCCTGGCAAAAATGTGTCCCTGCTCCAATGCAGCTGTACAAGGGGTGCAAGAGCCAGGCAGGCTCTAGCTGTGTATTTTGTGGCTCTCTGCTCTCACAGGCAGTGTGTGTGTCCCAGACCTGTGTGTGCCCAGCCCCATCTCCACCCAAAAGGGGATGGCCAGCTGCCCTCCCCAGCTGGGACTGCAGAGGCAGCCAGAGGTAAAACACACTCTACAAGATGCCCCAGACCTGAGCACTGCTTCAAGCACTGACGTTTTCTTCGTGAGACAAGTGTTTCTGCAAGGGTTTAACTTTTTAACACACTCTCCTAAACAAAAAATAAGCCCTCACACTGTTCCCATCTTGCAGAGGTTTTGTTGCTGCAGTAACCAGAACAGAAAGAAGAGGAAAGTGCTCCATGTCCCCCAGACAATGTACTGGCCACCACTGTCTTTGACTGGGGAGTGGACAGAGAGGTACTGGAGGGAGGTCTGGAGATGGGCCCTCCTGGAACAGGGAAACACTTTGGAGCCATCACTGCTGCACGGCCCAGCCTGTGGAAAAGGCTGAGCACAGAGACCCTGTCTGACCTGACAGAGGTGACAAACTACTGTGGCTCTGAAATGAGTAGGTGCAAGTCTTCACCAGGAGGCATTTTGCCTGGACAGAGCTGGAAGAAAAAAGGATGTGAACATTACAAGCATTTAAGAAATACCTTGTATCTCTTTTCCATAGCAAAGATAAGAGATGTAGACAAATAAAGACAGTTTTGCAATTTGTTCCTGCAGTTTTGGGATTACGTTTGCAGTTTAACAGCTCCTGTCCCTCCTTAGCTGAGAAACCCTCAGTGGACAGGGCTTACAAACACTCTCAAAGTGCCAGTTATTCCTGCTGCATCCCCAGCAACATGCAATTCCAGTTGTTCTTTATGAACCTGCACAGATAGAGCATTACACGCCTCAGAGGACGCAGACCTGCCAGTGGACTTAGTGCGGAACCCAGTGCTGCTTCTTAGCTACAGAATAATGAGACAATGTATTGTTTGGGGTGGATTGAGATGTGCAATCCCCGCACCATCATTCAGATTGGAAGTCTGATTCCTTAAAAAGCAAAAGCTCTTCTGTAATTCCATGGATATACACACACAGATAAACCAGAGATGGCTTTGACGTGTAAAGTTGTTCATACAACATTCCTGTCATGTCACAAACATATCAGTCTAAGAGCTTTACCCATTCCATTACATTCCCAAGCAGAGCCCATGGAGGCTGCCAGCTCTACACAATGTCCCCGTGCCTTCGGGTGGGGCAGCACAACAGAGCAGGGGGTGTCACAGGATCACGGCCCAACCCCCCAACCCCCGCAAGGGAAAGGGATTTCAAATGGGTTTCTTTGGTTTTTGTTTTTGTTTCATGCAAGCAGAGTTCACAGTAGCTGGCTGGATGCTGAGTGGCTGGAGAAAGCTAAAAACAAACAAATCCTGTCACCAAATGAAATTCAGAAGTCGACTACCAGCTACAGGCTGCAGCAGCATTCCCAGCCATGGAGTGCTCTTCCCAGTGCCAGGAAAGCAAGCTGGGGTGGGAGCAGGCTACAGGGCATGGAGGTCCTTTGTTTAAAGATCTGAGTAAGCTCTGGTGGTGCTCTTGCTCCCAGTGCACACGCTGGGTGACTGGGTTTCCTCCCCACTCTCCCTTTGTCAGGGATTTTTGGGTACATTACAGACCTCGAGCACCGCACCCGGCTCGTGCCCTCCCTGAGCACCCCCTCCTTCCCCACAGCTCCCACCTGCCAAGTTGGAGTGCAAAATCCTGGCAAACAACTCTTTTGGTCGGCAAAGGCAGTGGGGAGGGCAGGAGAGGAGTTCTCCGAGGGGAGGTTTGATCTGTAACTGCACTTTGGGTCTGCTCTCCCCTGCAGAACTCCCTGGGAACAGCGCTGTGCCTCTGCTCCCGAGGGCTCCAGCTACGAATGAAACAGGATCATCTGGAGAGCTGAACCACAGCACCAACGGCCTCTTCATTGCAAGCAATAATGGAAGCAAGAGAAAAGAAGCTTGGCTGGAAGCAGGAGGCAGATGTGAAGCTGTGATGTTTGAGTTCTGGGTGAACCTGCTCCTGAACCTGCTCAAACGCTGGCCCCGCAGCTTTGCCTCTCTCTTCCTCTCAGAGCAGAGCTCCTTGGTTTTTGCATTTTTGGAACCTTGTCTAACTGGTTTCCTCATCTGTGTGGGCTGAGATGTGGTCGGTCTGTGTGCCAGCACCTTGGCCATCCCTCTCCCCGACAGGGCAGAGGAAAGAGCAGAAAATCAGTGCAAACTGACTGCAAAGGCAGCAATTGGGCTGCAGTTCTTTACAGCACCGAGGTCCTTGTGCCTGAGTGTTTCTCCCCATGACAACAGACACCACTCGCAACCACGGCTGGGCCACTCTGTGATAACCCTGCTTTGCTTGGTTAGAATTATAGTTTTAGGCTATCTAGACGTACACGACTCAACTGTCTTACCTGCAAAATGCCACCGAGTGTCTGGAGAGAGCACTTGGCCTTTCAGGGATAAAGTTCCTTCTCCCAGGGCAGGAACCTGCTCATTCCCTGTGTCCAGCCCTCTGCAGCAGGGCAGTGCATGGCCAGGCTCCTTCCCTTGGAAAACCCACCCCCTGTTCTACTTCCACATGCTCCAAAATAGTTCTTGGGTTGCTCACAGCATATTTTGCTGATGTCTGTCCGGAGAGCTCGGCTGTCTTCACGTCTGGGCTGGAGCTGAGCAAAGTGCAGGAACAAAAAGCATTTTAAACCAATGTCTCGCAGACTCGATCCCAGCTCCACTCGGAGCAGCCCCTGCCAGCGCTGGCAGGGCGGGATGCTGTCAGTGCTGAACCTCCAGCTACTCATTAATCACTTCACTGAGTTCACAGGGAGGACACAGAGCAAGGGGAGGTGGGATATTTCCAGCACAATCCTACTTTTTGGTGGCACACGACTGTCTCAGTGTCCACTGTGCTGCCAGGCTGGGGCCCCACCCCAGCGACTTGTGCTCAGCCTTGGGGGAAGGTGAGACCGCTCTGAAGAAAATGAGTTAAAATGCCTTCAGATGCCTTTTCACTTCTTTTTATTTAATTCCATAAATATTTTCATAAGGCTCAGTGTCTTTACAACACTTTTTTAAACACTTTTTTTGTTTTATACACACAACTTTGACACTTGTTTGACAGGGTCAAACAGTCCAATATAAACAAAATAATAAAACTGGCAAGTGCGGATCAGCTGGGTTACCAAAATCCTTTTTTTCTTTTTTTTTTCTTTTTTTTTCTTTTTTTTTCTCTTACTTTTAAAACCCGAAAAGCACTAAAATATCAGTATTTGGCTTCAAACTAGAATTTTAAAAACCTTTTTTTTTTTTTTTTTTAAATTCTCTGCTACAAGTCCCTGTCGTCATAGTGCCTTTAAACTCCTACAGACTCTTCTTTTCTTCTTAAGGAAAAATAAGCTTGGTGATGCCATGCAGAACTTACAATAGCTACTAAATATACATGTTCCCTGAAATGTAGCTGCAATGAAAAGATGACAGAGCATAAAGAGAACAAAACCAGAAACCCAAAGCACCACAGTGTACTATCAATAACATTGCAATGGATGGCTGGTGCCCATCCAGAAACTGAAACAAATTTCAAATATATTTCTCTATGTATTATTTTCTATTTACAACTGTTAGATGCACCTAGGTTGGTTCTTGTTTGACTTTTTGGAGAGGGTGGGGAGGCGAAAGTCTTGAATTTAGATCCTCTGTTCTAGTGTCTAGGTCAAGGGGTAATGCATGTCATTTACCTAGGGAAGAAGGTATCTTTATTTTATATATATATATATATATATGTATAGATTCAGCCAGAGAAATACCGTAAACATTTAAGTTTGTTACAACTCTCTTGTTTCTGCACATGGAATGGTAAGAGGGTTCCTCCTGTCTGGCATTGAAATGAAAGTCTGTTATCAGATGCTCGGTCAAATCACCCCAATCTGCATCCGCGCCGCTCCCGCCGCGCGGCCCAGCCCTGCTCCCTACTGGGAAAGCCACAGGAGGTGGGAAAGTGGGACCAGTGCTGGTTCTTCTTTGTGCCAATGCTCCATCTCCTGCAGCACCTTTGGCAATTTATGGAGGGGAAGAGCTTTCCTGGATGCCATTGCCTGAGAGCCAAGCCCCTCTTCCCTCTGGAACACGTGCCTGCAGCTGCTCTGCTCGGGCAGTGCTGGCTCGGGTGGGCTTCCCACTTAAGAAAGAAGCTGCGAGTCCAACAAGTGGCCTTGTCAGATCAAGCGAGTCTTGACTTATGATGCAAATAATGGTGTGGCGGTGGTGTTTCTTTTTTCCTAGTGCTGAATATTTAGGAAGCATCTTCTCATAAAAATTATGGATGTCTCATTCTCACTCTCTGAGGCACAAAACAGTAAATGAACAGGCTTAACTAATGTGCTTGTTACTTTTTTTCCCCCTAAGCAATTAAAAAGGCAAAGGAATAAGTGAAATTTTCATCATGTTGACAACATTTTGGAATCTCTCTCTCTCTTTCTCTCTTTCTCTCTCTCTCTCTGCATCTCTCCAGCCATTCAGAAAGAGTAAAACATTCCAGTTAACTGCCGAGAACCCATCTCATTCACTTCGTTAAATACCCGTTCTGTTAAAGAAACAAAATAATATTTGCTATGTATCCCGTATTAAAATCTGACCATAAAAATGCAAAGATACAAAAGAGCATAAAAATAATTTCTGATATAAAATTGGGTTGCTTTCTATTTGGGATTCCTGGTGTTTGGCTGCTGCCTGTCACAGAGGGGCCACTTTTCCACTCCAAAACACTAATCTGGCTTTGCTGGTTATTGATAGTTTCTAGATTAGTCAAAAGTATACAAGAGATTATTTTTTGACTTAGATAAAAATAATGCCACCCTTGCAATATGCCCTGAAATAAAACAGGCTCCGTGGGAATAATGAAATCACTCTCTCTGCTCTTCCCATTGTATTTCTTAGGGAAAAAAAAAAAATGTATCTCCACACTCGCTGGCCCAGGGTGCTTATGTGGTGTATCAGATTCAAAGGAAAATGACAAATACCGTGATCAATCACTTCATCCCACATTTTCAAAGGAGTTTGCAGAATGGCTCTGCAAAGGTTTTAAATTCATCTTCTAAATCTGGTTAAACAGTCTCATTTGCCCTAGGAAAAAAAAATCATCCTCGTGCACAATGGTTTGTTTTACAAGCTTAAACATAAGCTTTTGCACTTGCAAACAAATGTACTTAAGCCTGAAATTGTAGGACGTGTCTTTAAAAACAGAGCTGTGAATCTCCAGAGGGAGAAAAAGAGAGAGAAAGAGACCTGGAGTTTGGCTGAATGACTCCAGAGCCCGTGGACACTGATACACCTCTGCGAGCCCCGGATGGCCTGGGGGGTGAGCTGAGCACTGCTCTGGATCAGGACACACAACCACGGCTACACCTCTCAGGGCACATCCAGATCTGCCCTGAAAGGCAGCTCTCAGCTCCTCTGCAGCTCGGGGGCTTTACCCAGCAGGTGAACCCCTCCAGGGATCCTTCCACTAATGGGTCACTACTGGCAGCTCACGGGTGTTGGGAGCCAGGGATCTGGGATGCCCGGAGTGGAGCAGGCAGTGAGTGCAGTGAGTCCCCACTTTTGGGACCACTGCTCCTGCAAATGGCAATTAGTGATTCATTAACCAGGACCGTGCAGGCTGAGTGTGGCCAAGGATGGGACCTTAGTTCCTGAAGATGGAAAACTGGCCATTTGTCGGAGCCTCGTAGCCAATTTTCCTCCAGCTGCGATGGAGGCATGAAGCCATCAGTTTTTAAGCTTTTATCTTTGCATGGAAAACAAAGATAGGAGTGGGCTTTTCAGAGTCGTGTCTCAGCTTGAAAAGAAAATAAATCAAAGATAACCCCAGAGAAACAAAGCTCAATGCGAAAGAAAGAAAAGCCCCTGATATTCTTTTCTCAGTCTTACTCCAAGTGTGAACAAATCACACTGAATTGAGAAAAAGACAGTGCTTAAAAAAACTGCAAAAAAATTAACTGAGGAAAACGCATCTCTCACTTCCTAAATAGCTGCTTCCCCTTCTGCTGGGTTTCACCTGCCCACAACAAAACAGTTAAAGCCAGAGAAATACTGCGCAGCGGAGCGGGAGCACAGGGAGCACATCCAGACAGGCACGAGTCAGACCAGGGAATGCAGGACAGGGAATGGGGCCATGTCTTCACTGGAATGGGGACTCCGGGGACAGCCAAGGGAGGGACGGAGAGGGCGGGAGAGGGAGCAGAGACCTCCCAGCACTCCAAAAAACAAACAACCCCCCCATAAATAAAATCAAAGAAAATATACACCAATGTAGTCCATGAGGAACTTCCATGACAGAGTCACACAAGCGAGAAAGCATTCTGGGATGCCAATGACGACCAGGATGAAAATGAAGAAAAACAGGAAAAAAAAACCCAAACAGATGTCTGACCAATGGAATAAAATAAAATAGGTCACATGGTTAGAAATCATTGGTGCTTCCTAGTATCTAGTAGCAGATTACTTCCCAAAAACAACAAAAAAAGTTTTTGGTCCTTCTATATATATACATATATGTATATATTATTATTTTTTAAATGTGTGTATACATATATATATGTATATATATTTAGTTGCAACAGTGCTTCTCCGAAAAAAGGTCCATCTATAAATATAATTTTATTTATTTTTATTTTTAAATTTTAGTTCTTTTAAGTTAAAATTCTCCATCTCTCTAGGTATTATTTTTTGAATGGTGTTAACCTGCTGAAGTTTTGCCAGAATGGTGCCTGGCTGCGTCTGGGTTCGGTGAACTCGAAGACCTGGGACTGGGATATGCCATCTGTCACCATGTATTGTCCCTGATTTAATGGATCCTGGGGTGGTGGGTAGGCTGGAGGAACCGACTTGGAGTAGCTCACACCTGCATCGATGATTGGGGGGAAAAAGAAACAGATCAGTCAAAGAGCAATTGGGTCAGTCGTCTTTCTTTGTCACGCTATCGCCTGTCATCACTCATAACCAGGGTCCCAAACACCGGGGAGACGTGCAAGAGACGCAAATCTGCGGAGCAACCAGCACTGCCTGACCTCTCAGCTCCGAGGCTGCCTGTGCTGCACCACGGCCTCAAGATTTGGGAAAGAAAGATCCATTACTTTTGTGTCGGCAGAGTTCTGCCCGCCCTCATGGAAAAGTCCTATGTGACCGAAGGAGCACGGCCACGTGCACTGTCCTGCTCAGATGGAGCCCAACGACCGCGGCGTTCAACCCACTCCACTTCAACACCTGCTGCTTCCAAGCTCGTTTTTCCCCTCCCTCCCAGCTCGACCTGGAACACGGCTGTGCCCACGCACCCCGCTGACCAGCCCCGAGCAGCGCGACCCCGGGGAGCGCCCGGCACGGCTCCCGCGCCGGGGCGGAGCAGAGCTGCTCTGCAGGAAGGCTGTGCTCATCTGCCTACCAAAGGGAGCTCGTTATCTTCTCTAGGAAAGTTTTAGGACTTTTCCATAGGGTTCTTTTTGAATTCACCAGTCTGGTTTCAGCCCAAAACGGCTGCACACAAAGCAGAAAAGGCTGACTCTGCTCGAGCCAAACTGGTAGCAATGGATGGACTGGGAAGGCTACACTTTGGGATCTGGATGTCTGATTCCCACACAGGTGAGCCACAGCTCCTGTGCAGGAATGGGGCGAGGGGATGCTGCCCTTACAGCTTTCCCATGGAAAGGGGGGGCTTCAGCAAGCTGGGGCCTATGCAAGCTGTTGTAAAGGATGGTGTGGAAAGGACGGCTCTGGGTGACTGGAAGTGAAGCAGAAGGGATGTGTGTCACCACCAAAGCACAGACTACAGGGCACAGTGACACAGTCTGCATGTCCTTCCCCTCAACACCGCTGATGAGGGATAACCCCTCCTTCAGCCTCAGGGCAGCGTGACGGGCTGGAAACCACAACTCCAGAGAAGGGCAGGAAGGAGAGAGGAGCAGAGCAGGGCTCTGAAGCAGGCTGCTGTAAGCTCTGGCCATCTCTGGATCCCCTTTGCTGCATGCAGAACTGCTCCTCCTTCTGCAGGGTGTAGGCGTCGCGAGGGCCATCCCGAGGCCGCTGCCTGCCCCGGCTTTAACTGCAGGAGCCAAGGCGACCGTGCCCAAGCAGCTCAGGGTCCTCATCTGGAAAAGCGGGATGGCAGCACCCACCTACCTCACAGGAGGGTTGTGAAGCTAAATTAATTAATGTTTGTAAAACACTTTGAGATCCTCGGCTGGGAAGGTGCTAGAGAAGGCAAAATACGGTGATTAGCACCCAGGTACCACAGCAAGGTGTGCACAAGAAATGCGTTTGCAGTCCTACCCACACACAGACACACTGGGGCCGGGCTGGCCAGGCACAGGACGGCTGCACACGGGTGGCACTTACACACAGGGGAGAAGCCTCACAAGGGGCACTCACGGAGCTCACCACACAACCTTTGACATGGTGCTGCACTGTCCTTCGGGACGTCTTTTGGATACAGGCTAAGGCTTTAGTGTGTCTTTAGGAAAGAGGATCAATTCGCTTCCTCTTGCTATAGAATTTAGGAATCAAGGGTTAAAATCCTCAAAAGGCTCAGACCGAAGGGAGATGTCATCTTGACCATGTCTAACTCATTTCTCCTTCTTTACTATCTCTGTCCACTGCAGGGAGTAACCAAGATCTATTCTTGCAGTGAACAAAAACTGCTCCATGATTCATCCTTATGAACCTTTAACAAATTCATCACAGTTAGTATTTCAAACTTATTTGAAAAGATCAACCTGGAGATGTTCTGCATTTGTATCTGCATGATGGAATAGTTACTCATCGGGGAGTTTTCTACTCTGTCTTCCCAAGCTCCTGTTTCCCACAGAAGGCCTGCAGAGCAGAGGGCAGCCCCAGAGCCCTTGCTGTCCTGGGGTCACAGCTGGGCAGGGGCAGTTCTGGGATACCTGACACAACTCCTGTACCATGCTGGTTGGCAGGTCCCAAACAGCAGTTTGAATTTCTCACACCATGTGACTGAAGCAGATGATGTCCCACAGGGGCAGAGCACGAGCTTGAGTTCATTTCTGCCATCCCTTCCATCTCTTCTTCTGCCACTGTCCTGCTTGGAGCTGCCTTGCTCCAGGCAGGTCAATGTGGGGACAGCGAGACCAACTGCAGAGTCTCCTCTGGAGGACAAACTCTAACCTTGAACCCACACAGGAGTGTTGACATCCTCCTGGAGGCCACCAGCCCTTGGTGCCTTGGCCAATTTTCCTAGCAGAGACTGGTGAGGGATTTTAGGGTCTGTGGGAAGGTTGGGATCTGCTACAGGTCCCTTACATGGCTAGAGCTGGAAAATAAATCTGGTTTGGTCGACCCAGTGGACCAGGAATTACTTCAAAGGCAAACAGTCCTTGTGCCACCAAAATTAATGTTCTACAACAGAAGAGAGCTACTAAGGGGGACATGGCACTTGTTTTTAGCTTTGGAAGACTTTAACCCCACATTAATGACATGGCCCAATGGCTTTGGCATCCTGTGGCTGCAGAGTAGCGGTTGGCCCTGTGCTGCAGCCGAGCTGGGCTGAGCTCTTTACTGTCCCTAAACCAATTTGTGGAGGGTGAACTAATGTATTTTAATGATCATACAGAAATGCTAAAAAATGTCCTGGATCAGCAGGATGTTATGCACTTGGAAGGCTGAAGAAGAAGAGAAAGGACAGTCTGGCTGACGTCCTCTGACATTGATGGAGTTACACTGCAAAGAATGGAATCCATAGTCCGTCTTCTCTAAGAGAAAAAAGGCAGACTCCCCTGGCCAGATCGCTAGCAAACCCCATTCAGTTCTTTCCCAAAACAGCCTTTTGGTCAAAACTCCTGAAAAATGTCTGTCCTTGCTTGAAACACACCCCTGCACACACTGCCACTTCCCTCAGTAAAGCAGCTCAGACCCCTCTCCTCACAGTTGTATGTGTGGCCCTGTGTGAGGATCTGAGCTACTGGCATTAACATCTAGGCTAGATGAATGCCAAAAGCTCCTGGCTGGTTCTACTTGCATGAGCAGCTGAAGGTCTGCATATTTATCATATTTATCAAGTGGCCTAAACGATCAAAGCTGTGGATCATTGACATGCATCATCACTGGGGGGGGCATGCAGATAAAATCACTGTGCTCTAGCAAGTCAGGCTGATAATTCCCGAATGCACTTCCTCGTGCAACTGTGAGACAGCACTTTGTAATAGCTTGAGGTGCCCCAAAAATGGCTTTTAAATATTTTTTTGAACAAACCCATGTTCTTGACAATGTGGAACACAGAAATTGGGGGCTGGGAGGGGGAAAGATCCACTAATCTGCACATCTTCAAATCCTGAGAAAGAGCACTAGCAATTCTGGGAAAAAGGCAGGCAAGTATTTTTCTCTTCTGCACTGAAGTGGTTTGTTCCCTCATCAGAACTTGGGGCTGTTGTGCAAAACTGTCTCTTGTGGGATATCTTTTTAATATTCAAAGCCATAACTCCACTGCAATTGAACAGAAAAAAATGAGCAAAGCTCTTTTCCAAGACAATTTTGGGCTGTGTGGCAGACAGAATTCAAAGCACAAAGGGAAAGAATCGATAGATAAGTAATGATTTCTAGGCACAGCTGTGTCAGAACGCAGCTCTACCCCCATGACCAGACCTGGAGCTCCTTCTGCTGGCTCATGCATAATTCTGCACTGTGGCTGCAGCTGCACAGCAGGGTTGTGGAGAGCTGCTCAGAATGAGAACAAGAAAACTCCCAGATTTATAATTTGGCTAGACAAAACTGGTAAGAGAGATGCTGCTCTGTCAGTTGAAATCATGTCTTTTTTTAGCACTAGGCAGCGTCACTCGGAGTCTTTCGGATTTCTCAGCTCAGAAGAAGACAATTAAAAAGACTTAAAACTGTCTCTTTTTTTCCCTTCTAGGTTTTGTTTTGTTTTTGTTTTCCAAAGTGTCTCTTCTACTTGAGGTTACAACATGATTTCAGTAGCACTTGAAGACTTAGGAGCATGCTGTTAACTCACAGGCAATGCACGGACACGTGCAGACGGATCATACAGCAGGACATGACACGGCACCCTCCCAGAGCTCACACAAACATACACAGAGAGAGCACACAGATCTCCTCCACACAACCATGGAAATAGCCTTACAAGCTGCTTATTCCATCCTCAACCTGTAAGATTTTAGCTTACACTTTGGTAAGGAGCTATTTCACTTTTCCTCTACCCAGCTGTCCAGGTGTCACACTGTCCATGAGCCAGAGTGGGGGACAATACCATGATCAACACTTGGGTTCTGCACTGGCTGGGGGGGGGGCTGCTTGGAGGAAAGGGAGCAGTGCTGCACTGAGGAACCTTCCAGCTCCCTCTGAGCTCAAGGGCAGCTCAGCCAACTTGCATCTTTGAGAAGCCATGCTCAAAAATCCCATAAATTCTGTTTTCTCCTGAAGAGTGTAACATGGGGAAGCCAGGGACACGCCTCAAGAGCACTAATTGTTGTGTTAATTACTCCTGCAATAGCAACAAGCTTAAGGTAAAGAAACAAGCAGTACTGGGCGAGTGGGTACAGCCCTTTGCCCTTCCGCAGCACATTTCAACAGAGGATCTCAAAGCACGATTCACCAGGTCCCTCCTGGGTTTAGGGCTGGTAAACTGTGATGTGTCTGCTATTAGTTCTCCCTGACTGCAGCCCTACAGAAGGAGGGGTGGGTGGCAGCTGTGAACAGGATCTCTCCTGAGCAGCTGTGGACTGGTTTACACCTCCTGCTGAACCACCCAACTCACTTTTTGACATTTCTGCCCATCTCAAGAGGAATTTGGGTGGTGCCTTAGCCATGGCTCTTCACACAGCTGGGGATTTTACTCAACAGTCTGGCCCAGGAAGGTATTAATGGGATGGTACCAAT